CTGGAACATTCTTTCCCCAAGTCCCCATTTGGTTCCACCCCTCCTTGAGGTGTTTACTTAAATGTCACCTTCTTGGTGAGGCCTTTGCTGAGCACTTGATTTTATATTTCCACACCCACCAAATTTCTTATACCCCTTTTCTGCTTTATTATCTCCCTAGCATTTATCACCACCTACACGTTTTATCTGTTCATCAGGTTTACTGTTTCTCCCACTAAAATATAAAAGCTCCTGCCTTACAGGGATGTTTATCTGTTTTTTCATTGCTGCATCCCACGGAGTAGGAGTTCAATAAAGTTCTGAACAGCCAAGAATCTAGAGTGGGTTCTAGAGCCTCGGGTGGATATTTGAGACTTGGGTTGCAGACTCAGGAACTGGGCTTGGCAATTGGATTCCCAGGAAGAGAATCAAGACATTCAAAGTGGCCTTGTCCCCTGCTGTAGGGCTCCAGCCACCAGCACAGATATGCTTGCCATGGTCTCATTCCTGGATATTATACTGGCAATATCCCTAGCCTCTCCTCATCCCCTGAGCTTCACCCCCACAATTCAGTGGACTCCTGAATGCCCCTTCCATCTCAGTATCCTGGACCCATAACCATTGTATCTCAAAATGGCCTTAGTATCTTCTCCAAACTTTTTCCTCACCCCATCCTGTTTCAGGGCAGCCCCACCATTCCCTAGTCCTCAGGCCAGAGCTCTGAGTCTCCTCCTGGATATTCTTCCCCCTAAGACCTGTGCACTCTGCCTCCTGAGTGTCTTCCCAACTGCCCCCATTCGCTTCACAGTCCCACCCTGGGCCACATCTCCAGCCTCCTCCCTGGGCTCTCTGCTCCCAATTTTGGTAACCACCTCCAATCCAGAGGGATCTTGCTAAATCTGATTATACACCTCCCCTTGATAAACCTTTCTAATCTCTCCTCATCTCAGATAGAATAAAATCCGAACTGCTCATCACAGATCATCTGGGCCCTGCCAACCCACCCACACCCCACCTCATTTCCTCCCTGTCTCCCCCTAACCTCTCATTCTCTAGCCACACTGCTCTTCCTTCTGAACTTCCAACATGCCAAGCTCAGCCACCACAAGGCCTTTGCATCTGCTGCGCCCCTGCCTGGAATGCTTCTCCCTTCATCTTCATGTGTTGTTCAGCCATCAGCTCCTCAGAGCCCCTTTCTGACCCTTCATACCTAAAATCTCAACAGCACCAACCTGATATGTTATATCTCTTTTACTGCTTGATCATAATCTGTTCTTTTATGCATAGCTTTTAAATTTCTTCTCTGCCTAGAGCCAGTCCTTTTCCCATACATGTCTTGTCTGTGTATTTTTTATTGTGTGTATTCTGTCTCCTTCACCACTATGTAAGTTTCAGGAAGGCAGCACATTTGTCTCTTTGTGTTCAAGCAAGTTTGCCTAGATTCAAATTCTAGTGCCAGTACCCAGCTCCATGTGCCCCTGAGTATATTTGTTCATCTACCTGGCTTCAGTTTCCTCATTGGTAAAATAGGGCAATAAATAGTATCTAACTTTTGGAGTTGCTGTGTGTATTAAAAGTCAAGGGCTTAGAACAGTGCTTGTAACAGTAAACAATACATAAATGATGACTATGTTAGTTATTTTTGATTATTATTTTCTTCCTGACCACCTGAAGCAGGGTTCCTGGAGCATATTAGGGATATTTTTGGAATGAATGAATGAATGAATGAATAGTTGGGGGGCACCTTCTTAAGGCCCACCGTCGGGGATCACCTGGAAGCGCAGGATAATGGTCCAGACCAAACCCAGCGTCAGCCGGTGATTTCCATCCACTATGTCATGCGATCCCACGTTCTCCAGGTGCACGCGCTGCTCCTTCAGGAACTGCAGCGCCTTGTCCACGTTCTCCAGCGAGTGGATCCTCATGCGGCCGCGAGTGGGCCTGGGCTAAGGCAGCAGGGGCGTCAGCCGATGGGCGGGTCCGGCCAAGAGTGACGTCCCCTCAGCCCCGCCTCTTCCAAGGAAGCCCGCCCCTCCCATAGCCACGCCCTGGATTTCTGCGTGTCCAACATCAGGCTAACCTCCCTCAGTTTTATCCTCTTGAGACCCAGGACCCTGAATCACATCTCCTGATGGCTTATTCGGGTCCCTGGCTCTGCCCCTTCCACTGACGCACCATCTCCACATTGGTAACCATACCCTCAACGTGCAGCCCCTCCCCTGCAGTCTGTAGCCATAGTCTCACCCCTCCCATCGATCGCTCCCCCAGTCCACCAATGCTTTACCATTAATTCCGTAGTCACACCCCTCAGTGCCTCTCCGGCCTAGAGAGTGCCCTACCCCAGGATTCTTCCCCTTGTTTAGCGCAATTCCTTCCTATGGCGTTTCTTCCCCCTCTATCACCAGTCTTTTAACGCATCTCTACATTGAATCTTCTCTCTTTGACATGATGCATCATCCAAGCCCAGAAACATACAAACCCCAATCCATACAAGCCACACCCCCAACAACACTGCGCGGTAGCGTGAGACCCCACAACATAGGGCTCATGCTATCAACGAACTCTACCCATTCTCCTCCAACTCCGCCTAGAGACTCCGCAAACATGGTCCGCAGCAAGAGTTCTGCCCCAGTTTTATAGCCACGCCCCTCGCACTTCTTAACCTGAGCCTTTCCCTTCTAATAAAGCTCCTCCTTCCTCCAATGGCCCCACCCCTACCAACGAAGCCCCGCCTCTGAACCTCAGTCTGTGAGTTGGACAGAATCCCGCTACAATTCCCACCCAAGCGCCAGGGTCCTAGCAACCCACTTCCACCCCTGCGCCACAGTCCCATCCACAGTTAGCCAGAAGCCCACTCTAGTCTAGCCCGCCCAGAGAAGCGCAACCCTCAGCCAGACACCCCAGGGCCGCCCTTTCCCTCAGCGCCTCAGACCCCCTCACCAGCTGCTCTCCGGACAGCACTTCCAGAAGGCGCGTGAGCACGAAGCCGTCCCGGAGGTCCGCATAGAGGTCCCCGATGTGGCAGCCCACGCGGGCAAGGTGCGAGTTCACCCATTTGGTGAAGGTTTTCTTCTGCACAGCCTCCCGTTCATCTGCAGGACAGACCCTCGTGAGCCTCCGCCCCCGCAGGAAACCTTGGCCCAGGGGTCCTCAAACTTTTTAAACAGGAGGCCAGTTCACTGGCCGGACTGCGGCCGGGATGCGGGCCCCGGGATGAGTCGGCTGCTAAGCAGGACAGGCAGCGGCGGCAAAAACACCTGGCGGGCTGGATAAATGTCCTAGGCGGCTGCATGTGGCCCGCAGGCCATAGTTTGAGGACGCCTGCCTTGGCCCCTTTCAGCTTTGTTTCAGTCCTGCACCAGCCAAACCCTGCCTGGACTCAGTTCTCTGCAAGAATCCAGCCTTAGCACAGGCAGTTCCTCCTACCTTGAACGCCCACTCCCCACACACACCCCGCTCTCCTGCCCACCTGATGACAATCGCCCTCTCCTTTAAAGTTTTCCTGAGGTATCACGTCCACAGAAAGCCTTCCCTGTTTCCTATCTCGGTGGGCTCTGTTCATTCATTCAATAAATAGTACCGCACTGCTCTAGGCTCTGTGAATACACACTGGCCTCCCTCCCAGGGCTCAGTATAGTGGAGGCATAGGTAATATTCCAGTGAACACGGGGGCGCCATGGAAAGTTTAAGGAGGAGAAACAGGGTAAGAGTTGTGTTTTGGGAATATCCAGGGCTGCTGCGTGAAGAGTAGATCAGAGAGGGAAAAACTGACAGCCAGAAACCCAGGAGATGGAGAAGGGGCCCAGGAGAGAAAGGATGAGGCTGGACCGAGGCAGAAGCCGTGGGGATGGGAAAAAAGGACCTACTGGACAGATAAAAAGTAAGAGGCTGGGCGAAATAGCCCACA